CCCCGACTGGAGCCGGGCTCAGGGTGGCTAGCATCATAAAACTAACACAGTATACAAAGAATATAAAAACAGGCAATCAATTAATTAAAATACATCTTAATTCAGAGCAAATTAAAATCTGGACAGATGGCAGTCCATGGGTAAAGTTGAGAGTGGTTAATATTCTCCAGGGCCAACTGTTACCACTGGTCTTATAAAGGACCTGTGAGAGGGTTAGGAGGCCTCTTTAATCAGAGAGTTCCGGGTTGGCGCCTCTGGCAATGGCGGATTTCCTCCGATCAGGAGGAACCCGCTCCGTGAAAAACAGGGTCTGAACCGCCATGGCGAGGCGGAGACCCATTAAAAACCACAGGCGGGAGAAGCCTGTGGACGTGGGATTCGGCTGGCACCTTTGCGCCTCCCCTGCTCGCAGGGAAACCCTGTTTTGGGGATCCGGAGCGACGTGGGGTGAGTGGCGCGGTGCTTTGAATCGACTGCTTCTTTCACGGAGTGAAGCCGCATTGCTGTTGCCGGAGAGCGCTGACTTTTTCCTGTAGACAATTGGATTTTAAACAACTACTCGTGAGTAAAACGGAAAATTGGACTTTTAAATATTTCAATTTGGCACTGAAACAGGAAGGTTATAAACAGGAAGTCCGCCTCCCGTTTTTGTAAATAGACTGAAGCAAAGACGTTACAAGTAAAGCCTTTGAAAGCTTTTGGCAAAGGATTAAATTTCCACCGGTTTAAAAATACAAAACCCCCCTTGGAAGCAGGAGAAGAGGGGGAAATTTTTGGATCTAGTGAGCCTGCAGGAGAGAGTGAAAAAATCAAATTACCACTGCTCTGACCCTGGGAACGGGCTGCCAGATGACGTTTGGAGAGAGTGCTTTTGACAGAAAGGATTTGACAGCTAGCTAAACAAGAGTAAGATACTGTTTCCATTGTCCCTTTCTGCGTTTTAAAAAAAAGAGGAAAAGTAACTGAAATTTTATCTTTAATGTTTGAAATTGTGCTTGAAAGAACTGATACAAGTGGAGACTGTTTCCCTCTAGAGAAACTTTTGAAACTGTAACAGGACTGTAACTGGGGGATTTCCAGCTGCAGAAAAGGAGTTTGGGAACCAGAGAGTGACCTTGGACTATTTCAAAAAGTTGACAGGAGAGGCCATTGTGACTGTTTTATGTGAGATAAGCTGTTCGCTGGGACAGCTTCACAAGAAGATGGATGATATGACTCTCAAAGTTGATAATTTGGAACAGAAAGTGACCAACTTGAGTCAAAAAGTGAACACTAATACAGAAATAATTCAGGACTTGGTACAGGAACCCACTTTGGCAGGACAAATGGTGGAGGAGAAGGAAGAGAAGGAGAATGCAGCTGTTGTTGAACATAAAATAATACAAGTGAGATTTGGGGATTTACCGAAGCAAATTGGAGATTATAAATTGAGGCCTTCTATGATTGAATTTAGGAAAAGCCAGACTCCGAGGAATGGATTCCGGTTTGGATTAAAGAAGGAAAGTTGGAAAGAGCCCTCTATGCAGGGACTAACTGACTTTTGGGACATGGACTCGGGTCTGGAGGAGATTGAAGTTTTGGAGGCCTTTGGAATTGGAGGAATCTTGAAATATACCCGGAAATACTTTATGGACTGTAGTTTTAACTATGGAAATTCAGCTGATCTGTTTAGAAGGAAGAAAAGGATTGACAGGTTGGAATTTCCCCGAGATTGGCTATTTAGCATTAAAGAAAATGAAGAAGACCTGCAGAAGGAACTTGGAAAAGAGTTAAGAGCCTCGGACATAAGATCACCAGGTTGATGGACTTTATGGAATTGACGGAAAGGACTGGCAGAATCCGAAACCTGGGAGAGGAGATGGTGGAAGAAAATTGGAAAATTTAAAGTTTATATATAGACTTATGGTAAAACTAATGAGTGATAGAAAAATGGTGGAATGATTTTTTATTTTTTATTATTTATGGGCTTAACAGAAATGTTATAAGGAGTTAAGCACATATAAGTAATTTAGTTTTAATGGAAAATAAGGTTAAAATAATACGTTATTTACAATATCACAGAAAATGGAGAAAGATGGAAAGGATTTGCTGAAACAATTAATAGAAGTGGAACACAAAAAGGGAGGTGTGAGGAGGTCGAGGAAACAAGGGAACGAAGGATAGATTATGGAAAAGAGATGATATATCATTGTTTTTAAATTGTTTTTGTTTTGGGAGTGGGGTTTGTTTAGTTCAGCTTAATGTGTTTAGTTTTGAGTTTAGGTTGTGTTTTGTATTGTTTATATATTGTATTGTATTGTGTTTTTCTTTTTCTTTTGTTTTTCTTTTGTTCTTTCTTCTGTTTTTTTCTCTTTTTTGCTTTTTTCTCTATTTTTGTAATCTATAAAAGTAATAAATATTATTTTAAAAAAAAAGGAAAGGCAGGGGGGAAAAAAGGAGGCCTCTTTAATCATAGCTGTCAATGTTTCCCTTTTTTAAAGGGAAATTCCCTTATGCCGAATAGGATTCCTCGCAAGAAAAGGGAAAAGTTGACATCTATGCTCTTTAATGCTTGTTCTTATACAGAAAGAAAAGAATCAGACTGAACCCTGACCAAAGGCCTGGTGGAACAGCTCCATCTTGCAGGCCCTGCAGAAAGATGTCAAATCCCGCAGGGCCCTGGTCTCTTGTGAGAGAGCGTTCTACCAGGCTGGGGCCACGGCCGAAAAGGCCCTGGCTCGGTCGAGGCCAGTCTCCCTGGGGCCTGGGATTTTCAGGGTGTTATTATTTGCAGACCTTAAGGTCCTCCGTGGGGCATACCAGGAGAGGCAGTCCCGTAGGTACATGGTTCCTAGGCCGCATTGGGCTTTAAAGGTTAAAACCAGCACCTTAAACCTGATCCTGTACTCCACCAGAAGCCAGTGAAGCTGGTCTAACACTGGATGAATGTGCTCCCACGGCGAGGAGTCTCGCCACGGCATTCTGCACCTGCTGGAGTTTCTGGGTCAGTTTCAAGGGCAACCCCACATAGAGTGAGTTACAATAATCATGCCTGGAGGTGACCGTCGCATGGTGAGGGCAAGAGGTATAAAGACTGAGTGCATCTTCGGTGGAAGAAGATTGGAAGAAATTCAAAGATTATCTACAGAAGTATTGTAAAGTTAATGAATGTTAGAATGATGTTCGATAAAAACTAAGTGGTTCTTAGCTGAAATGTTACAAGGGAAGATGAAAAAAGGGTTTACTATGTAATATGTAAAAATCTAAAAGTACAATATCTTTATGATTATTGACTAGGATATTTAAAAGAGGGGAGGGAACTGCTGAACAAAATATGTGAACTGGAATACAAAAAAGGGAGGTGCGAGGAGGTCGAGGAAACAAGTAAATGAAGGATAAGACATAGAAAGACTAATTTGTTCGTTTAACTATTTTTATTTTGTATTTTGTACTTTTCTATTTTTATATCTTTTTTCTTTTTGTATCTGTTTTCCTTTTTCTTTTTTCGCTCATTTTTGTAATATGTTGAAATTTTAATAAATATATTTAAAAAAAAATAAAGACTGAGTGCATCTTATATATGTATCTATCCTGAAACACAAGAATTATTCCACGTCTCTTTTTATGTTTCATGCTATGAACACAACCTTGAATCTTTATTTATAGGATAGTTTTCCTCCTCCTGTCGCGTTTTCTCATTTATCAAGTTTCTGTGCTTTCATCTCCATTCATCAGTTCTGAACATGACCAGTTCCATCAATTAATCCAACTCATGTTCCCTTCCTCCTCTGATCATCCATCAGTTATAGCAATCACATTTGAAACTCTGTTCACTATGTATTTCTACTGCTGTTAAAAAGTATTAGCAAAAAAGTCATCATCTGTCTAAACATCAGTTTAAGGTTGCTATGATCCTTGAGAGGGCAGGACAGGTCTAAGAGCCTAGGGATAAAGAGGGAGAAAAGAAGATACAGAGAGTTATGGGAAGCCTAGGAAAGACAAGATGGAAAGTATGACCCAAAGGAATGAAGAGAAGAGGACAATTGCAAAAGGAGGAGTCTAAGAAGAAAAAGAACACCAAAGAAGCTTTCAGGCTGTCATGAATTCCCAGTGGGATCTGAACTCACATTGCACAATAAAAGTTGACTAGGGTTCCTGCGCAACAAATCAATTCCCCCCAAAGATTTGACTTTTTATGATAAGGAAATTGAAGAAGAAAATGCACTGTGAAGTGCTGGATAACACTTGCTTTGGGGCAACTTCATATAACCTCCCCACCAATGAACAGGCCAACTGGAAGTGAGTCAAGAGGGAAAATAGACAGGAGGTCAAAGATAAAGGGAGCTGGACCACGTACATAATGAACAGAAGCAACCAGCCAAGTTGCAGCAGAAGTGGATTTAGGGGGAGTGTGACTGGTTCACCCACAGTGAGCACCGAAAAAATGACTTAGAATGGAAGGCAAGAGGCAGAGAGGTGCTGAATTTTGGGGTTGCACAGGGTGCTGCTGAAATTTGAAAGCCCAAAGTCCACCACTGAGTTGTAGCCTGTAGTAACAAATTAAAGTCTTAGTAGCCATATTGGTCTTGCTAAACAAAAATAGTTTAAATGATTCTTTTTGAAAATAATAATAACATTAAAAATCACAGAACAAATTAATGTACAGTGGTGCCCCGCAAGACGAATGCCTCGCAAGACGGAAAAACCGCTAGACGAAAGGGTTTTCCGTTTTGAAGTTGCTTCGCAGGACGAATTCCCCTATGGGCTTGCTTCGCAAGACGAAAATACCTTGCGAGTCTTGAGATTTTTTTCGCTCCCCCTTTATCTAATCTGCTAAGCCTTTAATAGCCTTTAATAGCCTTTTAGCAGCTAATCCCCTAAGCCTTTAAGCCTTTAATAGCCGCTAAACCGCTAATAGCGCTAATAGCGCTAATCCGTCAATGGGCTTGCCTCGCAAGACAAAAAAACCGCTAGACGAAGACTCTCGCGGAACGGATTAATTTCGTCTTGCGAGGCACCACTGTATTTATTTGAACAAATCAATGTTTAGGTTGCTTTCGCAACATGTAGGCTTGGTAGAACTATCATACAAACACACTGCAAATGCATATTAGTTTTCAAAAAGAAGTGACAGGGCGTTCTGTGGTGTATTTAACCTGTTGGTCCATTATCCTAACATTCCAGCTAGTCTCCACTGTCCCGTAGATTATCAATGCCAGAATTAGAAATCGACTTGCTTTGAATGTAAACTCAAAGCTTATCGAACAGCCTTACAAAATACCATTATACTACAGCATAATTAGATAGGTACTGTATTATAATGACATTTTGTGAGGCTGTGTGTGAAGGAAATTACCATGTAAAAGACAATGGACAAAGATTATTGAGTTGCCACAGTGCCATATGGCCAGGGGTACAAATACCTACCCATCTCACACATACCAATAGCAAAATCCTGTTTTTCAAATAATCAAGTGTTTTGGTCCAATAGCAATTTTCTATATATGGTTCTTCACAGTTGTAACCTGTCCCCCTGCCCCACCCTCTCTAGAAAACAATATATTTGAACTGAAGTGTTCAAAACAACTTACAATCACAAAAGCAAGGTGGTTCAAGTGTCAATAGCCAGGGTATTTAGACCACATACAGAGCCAATGAACATCTCTAGCATATAGTAACAGCTCAGTAATCTGTAGGTGCAACTGCTCCTCTCATGCACACAAACCATAGCATGGAGTTGTTGTGCCTTTTGGAAAATAGACACTGTATGGATGGGGCAGCGGGAATATCTCTGTCTTTTTATTGGAACTTGAGAGACTTGGGGGAAGAAAGATGTCTTGAATGAGATAAATGTCACACACACCCCAACTCAAATCTATGAATGATGGCTAATCTACTTTAACAGCTTTGTTGTTGTTTAGTCGTTTAGTCGTGTTCAACTCTTCGTGACCCCATGGACCAGAGCACGCCAGGCACTTCTGTCTTCCACTGCCTCCCGCAGTTTGGTCAAACTCATGCTGGTAGCTTCGAGAACACTATCCAACCATCTCGTCCTCTGTCGTCCCCTTCTCCTTGTGCCCTCCATCTTTCCCAACATCAGGGTCTTTTCCAGGGAGTCTTCTCTTCTCATGAGGTGGCCTTTAACAACTATTATTTAACTTTAACAGCTATTATTTTACAAAAGAGGAAGATCATACCAATGGATTTAGCAATCTACTGTTATGTGGAAGTAAAGCAATTAGCGCTTCTTGGTACCACCAAATCCCAAGCATCACTCAAGAGAAACTAGAAGATACTCTGTGTCAAACAGCTAATTACAGAGGAAACAATTTGTGTGTGGAATTCAGACTTGAATATTGGCTTCACCAGGATGAACTGGAAATTAATTTGAACACTGTACTTGCTTAACTAGTGCCCTTTCTCCCTACATATCTTGCTTCACTTCTGCTGTGCTCCCCCAAATCCTATATACCTGAAAAGGCTTGACATTACAAGCAGAGCATGATCTATTAGAAACCACTTTGAACTGAAATTGAAATATTCTCCTCTTCACTCTGAAGTGAATACTAAAGACATATATCAATCTATAAACCTGTCTGCATTGATTGGCTATTATTTATATGGAGGTGTTCTCTCAATTCTAGTTTGTTCAAAGGCCACTCAAATTGCAATTTGAAAAACACATCAAGGGGAAAGCAATCTTTTTACACTCATCATCGAGATAATTGAATAAAGCATTAAGGTGCTCAGTCATTTTTCTGTCTAAGTAATGGTTATTATCTCAAAAGAACTGGGAGAAGCTTTACTGTTCATCAAGTCCAATTCCAGAAGGTTATAACCTTGTGGTATTATCTCAAGAGATTACACTAATCTCTTTTAGAGCATTTTTCATTGATGGGCCCCCAGTGACCAAACCTTGGCAGCTTCTCACTTTCCGGCAATTTTCTCATTGACGTTGTTGTTTTTATATGGGGGGTAGGGGGACTGATGGATTAGGAAAACCCTCAAGAATCCAAAGATTCTGAAAAACTATTTCTGTGCAAAGAATACTGATTACTACACTGGCAAGTATTGTTCTAGCTTTGTTTTGTCCGTTTTTGTTGCCATCTTGTTGCTTAAAATGACAGAAATTGAGCCCAAAAGTCCAATCATCATCAATGGCAAAGGACAACCAGGTGCCAGTACATGATTGGAAGCCAATCCCCATAGCAAGGGAGAGGGTAATTATTCATCATCATCATCATAACTGTAGTAGTAACAATTCACTTGATATCCTGCACAAAAGAGGTTGAGGACATTAGGACCAGGGGCCAGATTCAGTCCTCCATCCCTCTCTAGTCAGTTCTTGTGACTCTCCATAGGCACCACCCCTCACCAGCTCTCTGCCTTCCTTGACTGCATTTGGCTTGTCTACATCCTCAACTGAAGAAAAGCCTAGGTCTTTCCACTTTCACTTCTTTTATTTCTTCTGTCCCTCTGTTGCATTGTTACTCTTACCCCCTCCCTTCTACTCAAAATGTACATTACAGTGGTACCTCGGGTTACATACGCTTCAGGTTACAGACTCCGCTAACCCAGAAATATTGCTTCAGGTTAAGAACTTCGCTTCAGGATGAGAACAGAAATTGTGCTCCGGTGGCGCGGCAGCAGCAGAAGGCCCCATTAGCTAAAGTGGTGCTTCGGGTTAAGAAGTTCTACATTAAACTGGCATCATATATGGTTGTGGCAGAACCTTGCATACAAAATACTGAACACACACACACACAAAAAACCCAACCTATAACTGAAAGGTGTACCAATTTATGGGATTAGTTACAAGTGTGAACCCATGAGTGAAAGGTGTGGGGTGCGAAGTCATGAGTAAAAAGGAGGGAGACATGCCTTCATGGAATACCAGCAACTGATATTCAGAATAATCACTGTCTCCAATCATGTCTCCAATTATTTTATTTGTCTTGAATCTTCCAGCATTCAGCTTCATTGGATGTCTATGAGTTCCAGTGTTAGGAGAGAAAGAGAAAAACTTTTCCTAGCCACTTTCTTCATGCCATGCATAATTTTATAAATGTCTAGTTGGCATCCATCTGTCTCAGGAGAAAATGGAAGAATGTACCTTTGGGAGTGACGTCAAACCATCCAGTGCCTACTAAGGCTGTAGAGATTGATATGGGAGAGACATGTTTTGTTGCAGCTGGGGCAGATGAAGGCTTCCGGTTGTGTTGACGTAGGTGTACCATGGCATTTATTCTTTCTGCTCTCCTCCCAGCGGTCATCCCTCCTCTGGTCACTGCTGTGGCCAGACGACCTGTCTCCAGCCACTGTGATAATCTGCAAGGGATTCCCACAGAGTGGGATTAATGTTGCCAGCCTTCGCGTCACATTTGCAGGCATCTTTGTAACACAGAGTTCATCTGCCATCAGGCCTGGTGCTTGAAGCCAGCTCCCCGTGGAGCACGTCCTTGGGGACCCTCCATTTTGTGGACCTGACCAAGCCAGCGCAGACAGGAGTGCAAACATAACGTGGGCTTGCAAGAGCTCATCTTTCAGTGAGACTCTGCCCTGCCACGCAATGCCCAAAAGCTTCCTGACGCAGTGCACGTGACAGGCGTTGAGGTGTGGCAGGCGTTGAGGTGTGGCTCTCGGAGGGTATTTAAGTTGCCCATCATTCACTTCCATAAAGCAGTGTGCCTGATAGACCTTCATCTTGATATTAGTCAGTAGCATCACCTTTTAAATGCATTATTATTTACTGACTTTATGGGTTGCTTTCTCTTGCCAAAGGCGACTCAAAGTCATTTAACAACAACAAACAAACAAACAAACAAACCACCCTGAAATAAACAAAACCCGCACATACCTATATTTAAAAAAAATACGGGGGGGCAATTTGATTTTTAAGGGGGGCAACTTGGAAGCTTGTTTAGACCAAGTTAATGGCCTTTTAGGCTTCCTCCACGTGAATAGGAGTTCACTTTTTGAATAATAAGAATTAATTGTCACGGGGTGGGGAGGCATCAGGATTTTAGAGATGCTTAGGTGGGGCAAGGCCGAAAAAAGGTTGGGAACCACTAAAGTCCACAACGCTGCAACTTTTCCTCGTAGGGGAGTCCCTCCCTCCCACCCCCGCTGGATCATCTCGGGTGTCCTTTTTTCCCTAAATCTTTCCCCAGCCCTACAATATCTTTTCCGAGGCGAGGCGACCAGAACCCTACGCGCAGCTTCGCAGGTCCTCTGAACTGGCCGTTTCCCTTCCAGTTCCTTCCCTCCCGATCTCTGGCATGGAAAGAGACTCTCCTCCTCCTCCTCCTCTTCCCAGTCCTTAAGACGCGCTTCTTTCTGTCCGGCTCCTTCCTTCTCCGGCGTTGCGGTCCGCCTCCCCCCCCCGGCTCCGGAGCGGCAGGGGGCGCCGTCCATTGCCGGCCCCTCCGCGGAAGGCAGCGTCGCGGCGGAGAGGCGGCTGGGAGGCCAGAGGGCAGCGGGGCGGGCCCTGCTTCGCTGCTTCCCAGGCGTCGGCGCTGCCCGGCCGCGGCCGGCCGAGGGGTGCGGCGATGGGGATGTGCTTGCCCTGCATGGGGGGAGCCGCCGACGACGTGGTGGAGACGCCCGACCCGGTAAGCGCGGGGAGTCCGTCTCCCTCCCCCTCCGAGCCCCCTTTCGCCACCCCAGATGCAGATCCACCCCAAACACAGAGAAGTCTCGCCATTCAGTAGTAGCGAAACATTTCTCCCCCTCGCTTTTCTTAGGGGGAAGCGAAGCGCCTTCCTTCCACCTGCGCGTCGCTTCTTCTAGTGATCTCCTTTCCCCTCCCTTCCCGGGTTGGATCAAGCGCAAAGCGTGGCCAGCAGATCTCTTCCAACTCCTGGGGGCGCAAGCTTTAAGACCTACTTGGAAGGAAGCCCCGCCGAGGGCCAGGTCAACGGCTGGAGGATCGCAAGCCTTAGAAGTTAGCCAGGTGACACACCCTTAAGAACTAGCAGCTTGGAAGAAAATCCTATCGCGCTCAATAGGGGCAATAGTGTCTTGTTACGTACTTTTGCCTTCACGCGTTGGTAGAGTTGAAACAATCGTGCGCTCAAAAGGGCCACCAGGTTGCAGGCGCCACCAGTGATCCCAGGTACAGGCACAGACGAATAGCGGGCAGTGAGTTTGGTGGTGGTGGTTTTTAAGCCTCAAAAGGAGAACATAACTCTGGAGTGTACAAGCCCTGCTGGAAAAAGAGCACCTACTTTGCTGTTAGTGAGAATAAGAGAGAGAGAGAGATTACACGTTCTGTTGGATGCATAGTTCAAGGATATTTGAAATATTTATAAGTGTACGAAGTGCAGTTGTCTAATTGCTCTGTAAATGCTTCTGCTGGTATGAGAACACTGGAGGGGGGGTGGGTAATCGTAATAGCTAACCCAAGACATAGTAGTTGCTTAGAAGCAAACCCCACAATCTCCAGAGGGGCTTACTCCGATGTAAGCATGCATAGGATTGCAACTTGATTGTTTACTTATTTTCGCAGAAGAAATAAATAGCATTTTTTTATTAAAAAAGAACCCCAGACAATACATTTTTTATAACAACGTACCTTATTTAATAGCACACAAGCTACAGGTAAACTTGATAGTTTGTAGAACAGTAAAATCCAAAAAGTTTGTGTTCTGAAATCCATATTTATCACTGGCAGCTTGATTTCCTGGGATTGCATCTAAACCAATTGCCTTCTTGATATTACAGCAATATCAGTATCTTCCCTCCATGGTATCAAATTGAGGTTTTAATCCTACTTTTACATGATGTGCAATAATACATTTGTTTATTTCAAACATCTCTGTTCCACTCTAGATTTAAAATAACAATGATGATCTGAATTGAAACATCAAATACGCACTATAAAATACCGAAATAAAACATTACAGGTGAATATCATACATAAAATACACATTAAAGTAGTATAATTGACAGGTGAATAAAACACCCTCCCCCTCAAAAAATCTATTTGGCTTATGTATTGGGCCAGGGAGGATTCTAAGCACATTTAGCTGAGCATAGTTAGAAATCCTCCCATCAGACCTCAATGTGGTTGGAGGCAGAGCAGCTGGGATAGTTTGTTTGTTTTACAAGTGTATAAACTGCTTCACAGCCTGAAACAGTGTATGAGATTAAAAAAAGAGATAAAATACAGGCTCTGAAAATGCTAAAACCATTTCAACACCATGTACAATTAATAATCCATAAATGGCTGGGTCGTACCTCGGGCAAAGCCTTCCTAAATAAAAATGCATCCAGTAGCCACCTAAACATCAATATGCTTGATGCCTATCTAAATTTCAGCTGGTAATTGATTCCACAGGGCTGAATGCTCAGGGTCTGGTTTCCAGTAAAGTGGTACCTCAGGTTACAAACACCTCGGGTTACAAACACTTCGAGTTACAGACTCTGCTAACCCGGAAATAGTACCTCGGGTTGAGAACTTTACCTCAGGATGAGAACAGAAATCATGCGGCGGCAGTGGGAGGCCCCATTAGCTAAAGTGGTACCTCAGGTTAAGAATGGTTTCAGGTTAAGAACAGACCTCTGGAATGAATTAAGTTTGTAACCCGCGGTACCACTGCATAAGCTAAGCACACCTCTGGGGCATTCAGTATTCTCAGCAGTGCCTCATCTGAGGAGCACAGTTACCAGGCAGTGGCGGTGAGTGGTCCCTTGGATAACTTATTGGTCCCAAGTGGCTGAGGGCTTTAAATGTTAAAAGCAAAACCTTGAATGGTGCCCAGTAGCATAGAGACAGCCAGTGCAGTTCTTTCAGCAGAGGCATGTACACGATGTTGACAGGATACCCTAATCAGCAACTTAAGTGCTACGTTCTGCCTGTTTATGGCCAAGGGAAATGGCCACATGGAGCCTGGTCCACCGTGTGCAGTACTTGTGATATGCTATGCTATGTGGTTGACTGAGGGGTGGGGTATCAAAGGTACTCCCCCTCCCATTGTTTTCCCAGGAATCCTGACCATGGTCTTGAGCAGTGGGAGTTGAATTGCTAGAAAGGGTTCAATTTTTTATAATTTCCGAAGTGGCAGCTATTGTAAAGTAGTGCATAGGGTGTGACTAGGCTCGAGGAAACCTTTGTTCAAATCCCCTGTCAGCCACAAAGTTTCCTGGGTGACCTTGAGCCAGTCTCTTGTCTCAAGGTCACCCTTTTAGTGCTGCTGTGAGGGTGAAATGCAGGGTGTGGGGAGATCCTTGAAAACACACTTGAGCTACCTCACTGAAAAAGGGAGGTTGAAATGGATAGCACCTGGAAGGCCAAAAGCTCCCCTCCCTGTGTTGAAATCTTTCTCGTACTCACACACATTTTGTGTCTCCAAAATAATGTGCTGGAAAGGATTTACCTCCCCTTAGCTCACACCTCAGTGACGGACCCCAGGCTACTGTTCCAACCACTTCTCATTCAGCAGCACACAGAGATTAAATCCGTCTTGTCTATCTCTCTGTCTGTCTGTCTCCCGGCATTGGTTTACTTCGATTTCCCCTTCTCCTACCCTCAGGTCCTTCATGTTCCATCTTTTGCTTTGCTGCTGGACCGGACTGCTCACTTGGTCACTCACTCACTGTTGTTAGGCTGGAGCACAAACATCCACACCCTCTCATTCTCATACCCCTTTACACTGCGGAACTGAATTGGCAGGCCCTCTCTTACCCAAACAAGTGTGCATGTAAATGGGCTAGGAGCAAAGGAACCCGGTGTACACTGAATCAGACCGTTGGTCCATCTAGCCCAGTGCTGTCAATTTTGACTGGCACAGCTCTCCAGGGTTTTAGGCAGGAGACTTGCCCAGCTCAACATGGAGATGAAGATTTCAGGGTTTGAACCCGGGATCTTCTGCATACAATGCATGTACTCTGCCCCTGAGCTTCAGGAAATGAATACCACCTCACTGTTTGTCTTCTTCTTTCTTCCCACCACTGCATAGTCAGATACTGGGGTGAGTAGAACCCCAATATTATTCCACCCTGAAATGTGCCCCCCCCCGTAGCCTCACTTGGTTGCACTTTTGCCTAATGATGAGGCACTTGGACATCTCATTGTCGACTAGGAAATTGAAAGGCTTATATGCAGTCGCAGGCAGAACTGGCAACTTTGGCTTGAGTTCCCAACAACTGGGAATAATTTACCGTGTTGCAAAGACTGATGGGAAGTCCAATTTCCTCCTCAGTAAAGTTGGTGTGAAATAACTTCTTAAACCGCTCTTTTTTTATATGCTTTTTGCAGGAGCTGAAAAGAAGACAACTCGCAGAAGCTGCAGAAAAAAGGCAGATGGAGGTAACCTGGTGTTTGGCACAGAGATTGACTCAGATACTTCCTTATTGAGTGAATGTGAACAATAGATAAATGGTTGTTTTTTGGAAATTGCATCAGAGCCATTCCTGAGCTGCACTGGAGTATAGGCTTCACAATTAATATTTTTGGAATTAATATCCAGTAATAGTTTCTAGGTATCATATGCATAGTAAAAGGCTGCAGGGAGGACACCAGTATGTGCTTCTAGATATTTGGCTATCATAAATAACTCTAGTCTCCCAAACTTTTCGGGCAGCAACAGGATTGCTTTTCTGAAGAGTTTCAAGAGGAAATGGTTGGGCAGAGCAAGGCACAGGCCTTCATCTTCCTTGCCTCTTTTTTTCCTTTCTGCGGAAGGATGCCTTTGGACCCATGAAGAGCTCAGAGGATTCTGAATCAAGGAATGTCCAGGGATTCTATGTGGCCCATGGATGCCATGCTGGGTACCCCAGTTGTCTATGTGGACAACTGTGTTTCCCTGCGCTCTGGCACTCTGTGCGCCAGAAGCGGTTTAGTCATGCCGGCCACATGACCCAGAAAGCTGTCTGTGGACAAACGCCAGCTCCCTCAGCCTGAAGGGAGATGAGTGCCACACCCCATAGTCACCTTTGACTGGGCTTAACCGTCCAAGGGTCCTTTACCTTTACCTTACATGAATTTAATATCCACTGAATTTGAGATTTATGTAAAAGAGCAGCCTTGTGCATACCTGTAATTCATTTAGGAAAGAAAAAGAATGGAAAAGGTATTTGATGTGATTGTTGTATTGATTTTTATATATTAAAAAAACCCTAGATTGTCTTGTGATTCTTGTATCCCATTGTTCCTTTCTAAAGTCTGCTTCTCGGGGTATAAAGAACCCATCTTCTGTGGAGGAAAGGAAAAGGAAACAGGAGGAAATGGAAAAACGCCTTGAATCAGGCCCTGGACCAGGCGGCGGCGGACTGAGAGTAATTATGCATAAGATTAAACGCTGTAATTTCTTCTTCCCCACCCCACTTTTTAAAGTAATTACTGAGAGTGAGTTGAGTGATTGCCTTCTTTTTGCAGACAACTGTGTCTTGTAAAGTGCTTTGTTGCTGTTGAGGCATTTGGCACAGGGAATCCAAATCCCTTTGACGTTTTGCTTCACGCGTAGCAATTTTATTGAACAACTGAAAACTATTTTTCAGAATAGGAGTGCGATGGAGCCTTACGACATTGAAAAGCGAAAACATTAAATTGAGTAAATAATTTTAAAAATATTTTAAATTTAAAGAATTTATAAACCATCCACTCTTTGATAATGTCATGAGGTGTACAAAGAAAGAAAGTTAAAAATGAATATATTAAATCCATCTGTAAAACCAGCAGGGATAATATCCAGCAGTGCTACAAAACTGGTTGAATTGTAAGTTTCTTAAGCAGGCACCAGAAAGAACAAATCGTTGTCACCATGCTCATTTCCAGAGGGCGTGTATTCCAGAATCTGGGTGCCACCACACTTAAAGCTCTGTGGCAGGTATTATTTATATGAAAATCCAAGGTGTGTGGCAGCCACAAGTGGCCTCACTTGATGACCTAGGGGTTTGAGTGGAATGCTATGGAACAGAATTGTATTTCCTAGGAGTATACACAAGCATTTGTTGTGCATTCCTGGTGGTCCAAAATTATTGCTAAAGGTGTCCAATGAAAGCCAAATAAAAAAGAAATAATCAATGCATAATCTAAATGTGGCCTCTCATGAGCAGATGAACTGGATTCACAAAATGTGAGCCTATTCCTATGTATAATAAAACCCTTGATCTTGATAAAGATCCCTTGATAAAACAAGGCTGTGAATTTATATCCCCTCTTCACCTTCTTATGTTTTTTCCCCCCCATCCTAGTGGCAAGTTGGATAACTCCAAGGGCAGCTCCTGGAGGAAAGAAGACATCCTACTGCCAAGACCTTGCCAGTTCTTGCAACTGAATGGCACTTGTTCAGTGTCTGGTTTTTGCCATTGTTTGCCTCTGAAGATGCAGCAGGACTTTGCCACCATAGCAGGGCAGGGGAAAGATGTGCACTAAGGATATTGTCAAGTGAAAGCTTCACAATGCACAGCAGAGGTGGCCAAAATCAACAGTCCTCTACTAGTTCCGTTGCCATGTTCTAGAGTTTTGCATGTCTTAACATATTTGAGGGGCCTGAAGAGACACGTATATAATAAATGAAATTTTCTTGCCTTGATTCTTATGGAAATCCATTCTGCTTTTTACAGTGTGCCCAGATACTTAACTCTGTCCTTTTCTCCCCTTGTGTCACACTTGTAAGATTTAAGTCACAGTCCTTAAATCTTAACGTGAGAGTTAGTATTTTGAGGATAGAAGCTTTGGTGCCTTTTAAGGGTGAACTCATATTTAAGAGAAATGTCACCATGAGGTAAGAAATTGTGTCTTATTCTTAAAAATGCTAACTCTGGGAGGGCAGTGGGCAATATTTATGGGATTTATTTTGCTCTCTCTCATATTTCTTTCTACAGCACTGAGAGTATGTGATTGTGAATCACTTAAAATACAATTAAACCAAAAAGGTTTTGCCTGCCTGCAGTTGTCCCTAAGTTGGTATTGAATGATGCCTGCCATGTCAACTGGGTAGACAGTACAATGCCTTGACATGTTCTGTGTTCTGGCTATTTCTTTATTTTTAAATTAGTATTCTGAAACAAATATAGGGAATATTCATGCAGCCTCTTTGAGGAAAACTAAGGAATGAAATCAGCTTATGGGGAGATGGTTTCACCTTTACTTTTTGTGCTTAAAATTAAGTTGGTGGTTTCTTGCATGCTCCCAAAGCATATTTGGCTTTTTAAAAAAAATCTCTCAGTAAAAAATGTACAAAACAAAATCTAAACTATATGCAATCTGTGTGTGTGTGTGTGTGTGTGTGTGTGTGTGTAAATAAAGTGCCCAAATGAACTTCCTCTAACTTAAACGGGTTATTTAACTTTTCCCATCCGACAGCATTGTTATAGGTAGTGCTGATTTTCAAAGAGCAGATGAATCCCTGCAATAAAATACCCCATTAAAATGGAATGAAATTAAGTTAGAAGGAATGTGCAGTTTTAAAACCTCTCAACATTCTGCTGAGTTAAGCTTCTACTAAAGAAAGTATGTTTCTTGTTTTCTAGCCCACAGTAATATAATGTCTGCAGCCTTTCCCCTAAAGGTCAATCTCTGTCTTGAATTTCATAAGCTATGCTGTATTTATAACTAAAACTGTCCAAGTGCTTTAACAAGTTAACTGAGAATGGGGTGTTTTCCCTTTCTTTGGCACAAAATAACACAGGTTTGGGTTGGGAGTGATGCATTTGGCCCAGTTCTGAGAGAAAAGTTGTGGGTTACGGCAATTTCCCTTTCACTCATTAGCTTTACACGGTGTATCATGTAGTATCTGCCAGGAGAGAGTCCAGCATCTGTCTTCATATTTGTTCACGTAATGTGAATGTTTTAATAAATATAGTGCAGAAAGTCTGGCCACGTTGTAAAATACCGATACCTCAAACATAATTATGGGCATTTGTGTTGCACTCATACTGTACTTACTGCTTTTTCCTGCTGTAATACCAATGGAATAACACTTAGGACATCTAGATTCCCAGTAATACAGAGCATCCTTTAAGAGGATGATGCTAAGAAAAGTTATTATTAAAGTGCCAATTTGGGAATTAAGTTGACTGTGCTTCTTTTATTACTTCTGTTGAGCTCCTAAAAAGGGGGTCCGTGTTGGATTGAGAGCTTTCCATTGTCAGCACTTTCTACATTAATTGGTGCGAAACCACTGTGTTCTTTCAGTGCATACAGTAGGTGTGTGAGGTCTCAGCCCCTTACTGGCTGAACTTTTTATAGTTCTCTGGCTATTATAGTTGCCATACTTCAAAGGTCTGTGTACTTTTGAATTTCAGAGCTTTGAATAATGTGGATTTTGTGTTTGAGGAAAGGAGTGCGTTATTTTATGTGGCAAGTCATGGTGTTGTAGAAAGGTACTGGAATTTTATTTGTGTTACGAGTTGTGCTGTTTGCTTATATTTGCCAGAAATACTACAGAAGGATTTAATGCAGAATTATCTTTGAAACACATTTTTAGGAGCCAGGTGTCTTTAATTTCACTAAGAGCAAGACTGTGAATTACAGCTTTATATCCTGTTACATATTTGTTCTGATCACTCTCCTCTCCAAAGGTGACTTGAGACTTAGGAATAGATACAGTCCTTCTTACCCCATTTGCTATTGCAGAGGCAAGGTGTCTGCCTCTTCTTGTTTGTGTGCAACCCAACAAGCTGATTGAGGAGCCTCACACACCCAAAAACAGGTTGTTAGTACTTTGAGAGCAGATAGCCTCTATCCAGAAGCTTTTTGCCGGTGAGGATCTTGTTCCCACCGTCCTGAAAACTTGAGTGCGTAGACAAACCATGTCCTTTCCATATTTTTTGGAATGAGCAAGTTCCACCAAAATCGAAGGGATTTTGAAATAATTTATAAAAAGATCTTAGGTTCTTCTCAAATATGTAATTTGATATCAAAAGGATATTGGCTGCAGGTAGAGTCCTTGATGCAATGCCCCTGGAGCGTTACCAGGTATCTGATGACACTACATAGGAGCAGAGGTTACACACATGCTTGTCTTCTGAGGTCTGATGCCTTCTACTGGGATTTTCCATTTTGTGTGCACAAAGCATTGAAAAGATCAAGGCAATGCCAGCCTACATGGAACATCCAAGTTGTGTAGGCTTCTTATTTGGATTGAGACAATGATGGTCAAAAGATCCATTCCGTCAGCAGCTCACGGAAAGTGACTGTTCTTATAGCTACAGATTAGGATTACTTCTAGGTAAACCTATACTGTAAACTGCCTCGTGAGCCCTGGTATATAAAATAAATAGGTAATGCTCATGGAAAGTGTTTAGCCCCCAAAACACTGCAAAATCTGACTAGGTTTAGGTCAGTCTCTACTTGTTTGTGAGATCAATAGGTTGCAATGAACCACTGAGAGTTTGTTTTTTTAAAAGTATCTGTTTATTTCTAATGCACCATGTGATTTCAGCTCAAATTTATACAGTCATCATTCAAATAATCCTCGAACAATGATTCTTCTAGGAAAGGCACAAAAGTTGTCAAGTATAGACAAAAGAAAATTAGCAAAACCAATAAACCAAAACCTTAGCATTCCTATATATCACGGAGATGTGTAACATAACCACTCCCCAACATTTATCTACAGAGAATGCATGTAGTATTTTCATATTTTATTCAATATGCTCAAAAACATAACTAAATCCAGCGGCAGAGAATATCCCACCATCACACAGTGGGACAATGGTCTATAACTGCCTATACATTTCTATAACCACCTAAAGCTATACTGTTACCCTTCAAGCACAACAGCCAGGAAGAGCTAATCTAAAGGCAAATACCAAGCACCCAAACAGCAGATACATGGGAGTACTACTGGTGATTGCATTCGCATGTCAAGTTTGAAAGTTTCAGAACAGGGAGGGGGAAGCTGTACACCTTCATATGTTGGGTTCTCGATTCCCACTAGGCCTGGCTAGTGGTCGAGGATGATGGGAGTTGTAGTCCAATGACACCAGGGGGGCTATAGGCTTCCTATACTTGGGGAAGAATGACTGTCAGGAATCATTCCTATGTCAAAAAGATATATAGATTTTCTTTAGCACTTACTATGAAAAACAAATCTGAATGGACTTACGCTTTTAGCTGTAACTTAAAGCTATGAAACAAGCTCGTGAGTCTTACCATTCCAAAATATTGGCCAATCTGAAGCTCTTTAGCTCTTTATACTAAAGGCATGTGGTCCTCCAGATATTGTTGGACTGCAACTTTCATCAGTCCCAGCCAGCATGGCCAAGGGTCAAGGATAATGGGAGTTTTAGTCCCAATAACATTTGGAGGATACAGGTTCCCCATCCCTGTTATAATTCCAAGGCACTCTTCTCTATCATTGTCAAGGCCAGCTTTAGCCTTTATGTTGTCCAGATGTAAATATGGTTACTGTCTTTCGATCCACCTAATGCATACCTCTGATGCAGTCACTTGAGAGAGCTTGCTTTGCAGCAGCATCACTGGTTTAGAGAGTACTGGGTGAGGGGAATGGGGCATCCCAGGTGGCATTTGACTTGTAGTCCAACAGCGCATTGCCCTCTCGTCAATATCTGGTGTTATATGCAGCTTAGGAACCAAAAGCATACATGAACCATATTGAAACATCTTAAAACATTATAGCAGGGGAGGAGAAAAATACTCTTAACGTAGCTTTCAATAGCACACATGCATGCATTCTATGGAGGCTGCTCTTTTGTTTTCAGATGCTTGCTGCTTGTTTCTTTCACCAGTTGGGAAAGGCTGTATATTAAGACAATATACAGGCATTTCCCACCAGTTATCTACTTTCTTATGCAGTAAACACACTGGCACAGCAGCTGCTGATAGGCCTAGAGCTATGTGATGCAAGTATGGCATTCTCTTGCCTGTAAGAGTATCCCATTCATTGCAGGGGGGTGGGGGTTGATGAAGTGCACAGAAGAATGCATTAAAAAAACACACCAGGTCTCATCTATGAATGAGGCAGCCTGTAAACAGAGGAGTTCACAGTGTGTGTCAGAACAGGGAAAGCTGCCTTATATCTATCTGGCCCAGCAGTGTCTACTCTGACTGGCAATATATCTCCAAGGTCTCAGACAGAGGTCTTTCTCATCTGCTACCCAGCTTTTTACTTTTTTTTAACTGGAGGTGAACCTGGAGCTTTTTGGATGCCAATAATGAGGTTAACCACAGAGCTCTGAATTAGGGCAAATAATTGAGAATCATAGATGTTTTCCGTACAAATATATCACATTTTGTTACTTTAATGTGACTCATAAGTCATTCTAAGAATACATTCATAGAGTAATAATTTGGCTAAAAATATATGTCTGTTTTTTAAAAATCAGATTGTAGTAATTAACCTATCGAGGGTAACTTGCTATAAAAAGGAACAGCACTAGAAATAAATAGTTCTACAGTTCAACAACCCACAAAATGGGTTGCCATTTCCAGTCTGCATGTAATTTTCAGGAGTCCTTTTAAAGCACCAACTAATGTAACTACACTTGAGAAGATAGCATGGGCCTACATATACAGAGTCCCGAATGAACATTTCACTTAATCTCCTTTTTGGTTTTGTAATGGGCAGAAACAACCAAGTAGCTGTCTGGGTTCATATCCTTGATGGTCGGAGACTTGTTCTGGATCGGGGATGTTTTCCCATCCACTCGGGAGATCTGCAACATTCGGCACGGGTCGTGTTTCAGCAAATACCCGGCAAACGTCTCCCAGCCGCCTCCTACGCGAACCATCACATGCTTGTTGTGCAGCATCTGAATTTGCAAAAGAAAAGAGGGAGAGGGGGGAAATAACTCCTGAAATTCATGTTTGCGAATGACAAGTTTTTTCCTGAAAACACTCAAAGCCCAGTTCACTGTAATCCTGTTGAAATCACTGGGAGTAACGGCTCAGTCCTAAACACTTTCAATGGTATTGCAGAAACTGCAGGGGAGGCAATCAAAGCTTTGCCACAGCATACATCTGCTCATGGGTGCAATGCAAGGTTGCATTTGGGCCCCGCTATTTAATATCTCCCTAAATGATGTAGTTTAGAGCTTTCCTCTCCTCTTCCCTGCCTGCCAAAACTGGTAATGAACAAAAATTTATACTGCTGCTTTATTTAGACAATATGGCTCTTATTTCATTATCCCAAGTAGGTACAAGATTACTTTCCAAATTCAGAGCATATTGCAAGCAGGATAGATCGTATATTAATTACAATAAGACCAAAGTGGTGGTGGTTGCCCAAAGGCATAAGTGCCATGAATGGGTCCTGGATAGTCATTTCATTAAACATTGTCACTCATTCAACTACTCAGGGCATCGTGGTTTTTTGTGAAAAATACTCCCTGGCCCACTCATTTTAAGGCAATTTAAATTTCATCAGCCTCTTTATTGAGAGCTAGAAAGGCATATTACTGTAGTAAGGGTCATTGTTTCTTAAAACATATTTATTTTTTAAAAAATTGCTGAAACCGTATCATGCTTCTTACATGGTGCAGCTATTCACGGTACTTATAGTAGGGGTGAACTGGATATAATCCAAAATAAATATCCATGTGTGCTACTTAAAGAGTCGCACAGAGTACACATGATGCATTACTTGGAATTGATGTAGGTCTCCCTTCTCTAGAAGCATACATTCATAATTCTATACCAAAAAAACCCCTCTTGCTAATACCACACAACATTTAGCAAAACTGTGTTTTTTGACCTGCAAAATAGGAAATCTTGGGCATCATGCTGTAACAGTATGATATTGCGTTGCCCCATTTCCCCTATAATACCATCTCCAGGGGCATAGCTAGCTAATCCAGCACCTGGAGCAGCTCCAAACAGTGTTGACTGCTAAGGGCATTTTTTAATCTAAATGGTCTGAGAAACCTTACCATTTTTAATTTTGATAATTTGTATTCTCAGCAACCCTTAACAAACTACAATGCCCAGAATTCTTTGAGTGAAAAAAAATGTGCATTGGAGGAATAGTGTATATGCAGCCTATGTTTTGGGTTGGGTATAATGACGGAATCTCAAAAAGTGTATCATTTGCCACTGCAAACATACCAGGTTGAATGGAAGGTGAAAAGGAGTCTTTCTGTCTCTTTCTCTCTGTGTCTCTCCTCTCTCCCTTTGCTTGCTTTCTTCACCACAATTGAATTCCCTTTATAACTACTAACTATGAGAGAATGCTCCAGCACAGGTGGATGTGACAGAAGAGCTCAGTATAGTCCCCTGACAGTGTTAGAACTGAACTCAAAGAGTGTTATCGTAACAAATAGGATATTTTAAAAATCCAGATTGGGAGTGAAGATAAATTACAAAGCTCTCCAGAATTCCCTATGGTGAACTGCAGGCACCTCATGTGACAGAACCGATACCTGGCTTTGCCCAGAGACCAAAGGAAAAAAGAATGAGCAAAACATTAAGGTACATTAAGGGGCCCCAGGAAACCAAAATCACGTTCATAAATAGTCCAGAATTGTCAGAGT